AGCGCTAGAGCGCTGCAACAGGCAGCAAAAACGCATATTGCAATGACCCTGTCAGTGTGTGTGTGTTTCTGTGAGTGTGTGTGTATGTTTGTGTGTGTGTGTATGTTTGTGTGCGTGTGTGCGTGTGTGTGTTCGTCTGTCCGGGTGTTTCAACTCGTCAACCACGCAAGCTTTGAGGCTGAAATTTTGCCAGTGTGTTCCTGACCGCAGTATCAACTCTCTCGCATGTCTTGGCCCCGCGTACGAGCACATGAAAGTTTTGGCGCGAAAATTGATAACTCGAGAACGAGAAAAGCTAGAAAGATGAAACCTTGGGGGAATGTTCCCTACCTGCGTATGACAAAAAGATTTCAAATTCAGCTGCCCAGAATTGCCCGGGGCTTACGTGCGGGCACGTGAAAATTATGGCAGGAAAATTCATAACTCGGGATGAGAAAAGCTAGAAAATTGAAACTTTGGGAATGTTCCCTACTCATGTGCGACCAAAAGTTTTCAAACTCAGCTCCTTAGGACAGCCCGGGGCTCACGTACAAGCATGTGAAAATTTTTGGCGCGAAAGTTACTAAGTCGACGCGAAAAGCTAGAAAACTTAAACTTTAGGGGAATGTTTCATACACTTGTACGATCAAAATCAGGTGTTCAGAAGCGCGCGGGACCATGTGCGGGCACATGGAAATTTTGGCGCGAAAATTACTAGTCCGGGAGCAGGAAGAACTAGAAAGCTGAAACTTTGAGGGAATGTTCCCCACTCATGTACGAGCAAAATTAGGTGTTTAGAAGCGCCCGGGGCCCACGTACGAACACGTGGAAATTTTGGCGCGAAAATTAGCCTGGGAACAGTAAAAGCTAGAAAGCTGAAACTTTGAAGGAATGTTCCCTACTTATGTACGAGCAAAATCAGGTATTTAGGAGCGCCCGAGGCCCACATACGAGCGCGTGGAAATTTTGGCGCGAAAATTGCTAACTTGGGAACGGGAAAAGCTAGCAAGCTGAAACTTTACGCGAGCAAAATTAGATGTTTAGGAGCGCCCGGGGCCCACGTACAAGCATGTGGAAGTTTTGGCGCGAAACTTGCTAATCCGGGGCGGGAAGAACTAGAAAGCTGAAACTTTAAGGGGATGTTCCCTACTCATGCACGAGCAAAATAAGGTGCTTAGAAGCACCCGAAGTCCACGTACGAGCACGAGGAAATTTTGGCGCGAAAATTACTAACCCGGGAACAGTAGAAGCTAGAAGGCTGAAACTTTAAAGGAATGTTCCCTACTCACGTCTTACCAAAATCAGGTTTTTAGAAGCATCTGGGATCCAAGTACAGGCACATGGAAATTTTGGCGCGAAAATCACTAACTCGGGAACGGAAAAAGCTAGAAGGCTGAAACTTTAGGATAATGTTCCCTACTCACGTGTGACCAAAAGATTTTAAATTCAGCCCTTTAAAACCGTCCGGTAATCACGTATGGGCACGTGAAAATTTTGGTGGGAAAGCTGCCAGTTCGGAAACGAGATAAGCTGAAGGCTTTGATTTTAGGAAAATGTCCCCTACTTATGTGCGACTAAAAGATTTCAAATTTGACTCTTCTAGTGTGGTCTTTTTTGCGGACCATCACCTTTTCATTTGCCGGGTCACTGAAGCCGACATCTACAACTGACATACCACATAGTTGCACAATCAACTTCCCGAACTTCGAGGGCCAGTATGTCACAGGGTTAGCTACTATGATTCCTTGCAATTTTGCTATGGCATGAAAAGTGCAAAAACGCATAATCGCACCGGCCCGCCTGGTGCGTTCCAGCCTGGGTTGCAATAGACTTGAAATAATTAGATTAACTGCATGAGTGGTTGTTTTTCTTTACACCTACCTTGTGCTCTCAATACCGAAACTCGTCGTAAATTTTGCATAAATGAAAATGAATAGTATCCGTTTAGCGGTCGTTTTTTGGAAATAACCCAGCCGTTCAATGATCAGTTTCCCGCCAAAAATTTAAGTGCCCGTGCACAAGAACCACGCACACCTGGAGGCTGAATTTGATAGCTTTAAGTCGTAAGCGAATTGGGAACATTCCCTGCAAGATTCCAGCTTTCCAGCTTTGCTGATTCCCGAGTTAGCCATTTCCCTGCCGAAAAGTCTCACGGGGCCGTACGCGGGAACCACGCGTACCTGGAGGCTGAATTTGAAATCTTTGAGTTATATTTGAACGGGGAACACAACCTCAAAATTTCAGCTATCTTTTTGCGTTCCCGAGTTACCAATTTTCCCGCCAAAACTTTCCCCCTCTCGTATGCTGGGCCC